AGGCAGGAGACTCACTTGAGCCCAGGAGTTGGAGGTTGCTGTGAACTATGATGCCACAGCACTCTACCCAGGGCAACAGCTTGAGGCTCTGCCTCAAAAAAAAAAAACAGAAAAGAAAAGAAATAGAAGGTATGTGCAAAGAAGAGATAGAGAAAAGAGGGGAACATTAAAAGAAGGAAAGCTGGGGAAGGAAGAAGACTCTAAAGTGATGGAGAAAAAGAAAATGTAACAGGGAAGAAGCAAACTTGCAAGTGTTGCTCAGTTGCAAGGGAAGGACAGCCTCTCAGCCCACAGTGTCCCAGCTCCTCCTCAAAACAGCCCTACTCGGCTCCATGCCTGTAACTCAAGCAGCTAAGGTGCCAGCCACATACACCAGAGCTGGTGGGTTCGAATCCAGCCCAGGCCCGCCAAACAACAATGACAACTACAACCAAAAAATAGCTGGGCATTGTCCCAGCTACTTGGGAGGCAGAGGCAGGAGACTTGCTTAAGTCCAGGAGTCGGAGGTTGCTGTGAGCTGTGACTGCATAGCACTCTACCCAGGGCAACAGCTTGAGGCTCTGTCTCAAAAAAAAAAAAAAAACAGCCCTACTTGAAGGCTCGGGTGATGGTTCGTCCTCACCGCCAGGCCCACCTGCTTACTGTAGGTGGATGGTGAGGGGTACACACAGTTGCCCTAGGGCTGACACACTCACGTGTAGAGATAACACACACAAACAGAAATGCCACTTGAGCAGAGGAACCACCAACAGAGGCAGGCAGATTCTCCCCAGCAGCCTGCCTCCCTTCTAGAGCAGCTGTTCTCTGTGCATCAGGATCTCCCAGACGGCTTGTTAAGATAGAGACCCTGGGTCCCTCTGCAGAGTTTCTGATTCTGGAAAGAGGCCTGAGAATTTGCATTTCTAACGGGTTCCTAGATGACGTTGATAATGCCAGTTTAGGGACCCCATTTTGAGAATCGCTGCCCTAGAAAGTGGCAGATGGGCTTGAGAGTGTGGAGACCACCAAGTGCTGGGTGCACCATACTGTGTCAGTGTACTTCAGTCCCTTCCATTAGAACTTGGTGACCACTTGTTCTGGGCAAGACCAGGTGGAAGGCAGACAGACAGGACTCAGTGTGCCCTGCTTCTCTGCTGGTAGTGGAAGGGTCTCCCCTGTATACAGTTTGCTCTGTCCTATGGTAACACCAGGCTGCAAAAGCCAGAGCAGGGAGAGATGGATTTGGTCTCGGAGACCTGTAGGAAGATACAGAGGGAGACGCTGCTGCTTTGTGGGAGCATCACTGACTCCCGTACATGTGTCTCAGGGGTTCAGTGGAATCTGTGTTTCAACCTTGAGAACCTTTAATAAAAAAAAAAAGTGGAACTTACCAGCCTCCATTATTGACCTAAGCCAATTTACAAACTAACTATATACCTATGTAATTGTATTATTTAATTGATAATGATATTATTTTGATAGAATTTAGTTATTCAAAATATGAATATGATGCTTTGGTATAAAATTGTTTTTACGTTTGCACAGCTCTACAGCTGGGTGACATGAAGTAACCTCCCCTGCACTTTTTTACTGGAATCACTTTCAAGTTTCTGTCATTTGGCCTTTTCTTATGAACTTTTCATTTGGGGAAACCTGTATGTAGGCTGGCATGTATGGTACACACATAGCTATGGTGTGTACAGTTATAAGATTCTTCTTTGAAGAGATGGTTAATGAAATTTATTTTACAAAAGTTAGCTAGTGATACTTTAACCCCAGGTCCATTTTCTTGCCCACCTACAACTGTCAAATTGTGCTGTTCGGTTACAGACACAAATGCAGGCATTGGAGTTGTGTGCATTAACTTGATAATTAGGCAGTCATTCAGTTGGCCCCTACTATGTGTGGTCTAAATACACAGAGAGAAATATCAGTTTCTAATCAAAATTGAAAAATGGCGGCTTGGCACCTGTAGCTCAAGTGGCTAAGGTGCCAGCCACATACACCAGAGCTGGCAGGTTCAAATCCAGCCTGGGCCTGCCAAACAACAATGACAACTACAACCAAAAAATATCTGGGCATTATGGCAGGTGCCTATAGTCCCCGCTACTTGGGAGGCTGAGGCAAGAGAATTGCTTAAGCCCAGAAGTTAGAGATTGCTGTGAGCTGTGATGCCATGGTACTTTACCCAAGGTGACAGCTTGAACCTCTGTCTCAAAAAAAAAAAAATTTAAAAATGGTCATGAAGAAGTATGATCCCTGCCAAGATCTCTACAAGACCTCAGCTTAAAGGGCCTGAAAATATAGGGCATATTGCTGAGGGATTAAAATGTAAAACTAGGCGGGGCGCAGTGGCTCACACCTGTATTCTTAGCACTCTGGAAGGCTGAGGTGGGCAGATTGTCTGAGCTCAAGGTTCGAGACCTGCCTGAGCAAGCGTGAGACCCTGTCTCTAAAAATAGCTGGGCATTGTAGCAGGTGCCTATAGTCCCAGCTACTTGGGAGGCTCAGACAAGAGAATCACTTAAGTGCCAGAGTTTTGAAATTGCTGTGAGCTATGACGCCAAGGACTCTACAGAGGATGACAAAGTGAGACTATGTCTCAAAAAAAAACTCCAAAAAACAAAAAAACTAAGCCTTTAAATATCATTTTTTCTGCCCTAGGATATTTAACCTCCACTTTGTTCATGCCCTGTAATGCTGAAGAGGACATGTGTGATCTCATTTCTATCACATTGTTTCCTAGCCCAGAAGGTCATAGCTGTTGAAGAAGTTGGAGCTACTTAGGACTGAAATAGCCAAAAACAGCTCCTTCATGATCTCTTTCCCCTTCATTTTCTTTAAAAAAAAAAAAAGGTTAAAATAACTACTTTTAAAGGTAGGAAAGAAAAATACACCAATGAATATGATAAGTGAAAGTGAACTTCTAAAGGCCGAGAAGCGATGAAGGTGAACTTCTTATTGGAATTGGATATGCAATTCTGGAGGGTGAAGGGGGTTTAGCAGAGGTGTGGCAAATAGATTTGCCTGATGAGAAGTGAATAATGTGATAGAGATAGAGGCAGTTAGGGAGGAGTGAGGAGGAATTATCCAAAGTCCTTAACCCAGGCAGGAACTGAGATTTGATCTGAGGGCTAGTTAAGAGCCCCAGCCAACTTCAAAGTGAAAAAGAATTTGCGGAATGTTATTTGTGCCCTGGGGTGACAGTAGATCAGGGTGAAGAGAACAAGAAGTCAAAGGAAGCTTTGTGCCTGTAGGAAGGAGAGGTCAGACCTGAGTAACTAGGGTTGTGGAGGGATGGATGGAGGCAGAGCCAGCACGACTCAGTGACAGATTTGATGGAGGGTATGGAGACAGGGCTGGGCCCTGCAGGAGAGGGCTATCCTGGGAGGAATGGGGTCATTCCATGTCAGGAATCATTATCTAGCTTTTTGGATGATGTCATAGAGTATAATAAATGCATGGGGTTGAGGATGATGTGAGAAATGAATCATTTACTTGCAGATCAGAATTTAAGTCAGGCAAGAGATGTCCCTGAAGGGTAAGACAATAGATATGAAACATTTTAGGACTTCTGGATGACTGGGTGTTTTTTGTTGTTGTTGTTGTTGTTTTGTCCTTGTTGGGGATTCATTGAGGGTACACAAAACTAGGTTATACTGATTGCATTTGTTAGGTAAAGTCCCTCTAGCCATAGGGGGACTGTTTAGGGGAACCAGCACATTGGCTTTAGGACTTTTCCCAACCATCTCTTCCCCAAATCTAGTTTTCCTTGGGGGACTCTGATGCATGACGCTGTTGACTAACCATTCCACTAGGTCAGACAAGTAGAATTTTGCCCAGATTTCTATACTAGAATGAACTGATTAGAGTGAATTTTTTCGTTTTTCTTTCTAGAAACTTGTGAAAATGTACATGAAATGTCCTTTTAATTGTACACGAATCCTGATTTTTATCTTGTCATTGTTTCTTGTGTTTAGATGAGACCTGCCAGAGCCAAATTTGACTTTAAAGCTCAGACATTGAAGTAAGTGCCTCCAGTCATATTTATTTGTCACCTTTGCTGCCTCTTTCAAATACAACAGTTCACTTGTAAAGAAGAGTTGGAGAGATAACAGTGAAAAAAAATATATAGTATTTTGTAGAGTTTGCTGTGTGCCCAGCACGGTTCACAGTACTTTGCATACTTTAACTCACTAGTGGGTCACTGTAATTGCTTTACATATTTTAACTGATTCAGCCCTCATTGTAACCTGTGGAGAGGGTACTTTTGTTACCCTCACTGTTCAAATAAAGAAACCAAAGGACTACGTGGACAAGGTTAAGGAACTTGCCCAAGCTGTGAAGTGATGGAGTTGGGATTCAAATTTAGGCATCCTGGCACTAGAGGTTGGGCTTTTATATACTGTGGCCCCGTGCCTCCTCTGAGGTAGGAGCTCCATTAAGTGGTAGCTTGGCTCAATCTGACACCCCGTTTCTGTGGAAAGATCCAGATCAAGAGCAGTTTCTAGGAAGACGACTTTGCAGTTTTGCTACAGTATACCAAGAGATTAAAGATTAGGGAAACCCTTTTTGTAGCATTTCTCTGTGTTCCTTAAAGTGCTGGCCTCATAAAGTGTTTCTTAAAAAGAGGGTTTTGTGGTAGAAGTGAGTGGGGGACCCACTGTATGCTCTGTCTGTACCTCCAACCGCCCTTGAAAAGATACTTTGCTCTTAGTGTATTAATGGCTCTAGAAGTCTTTCCAGGAAGAAACTTGATTAGGTTATTTAGCCCAGTGTTGCCTAAATTTAGGTGACCAGGAAAAATTTATATTAATATTTTCTTAGGAACACAGTTTGGACTACTACCAAAGACTGGGTTCCAAAAGGAACCTGGTGGTTTAATATCTAATTATGAATTAAAATGGTCCTTGTTTTTATTGGCAGCTGTAATATAATAAGCAGCCATTCCATTGTCCTGTGGATTGAAGACCCCATGTCTGGTGATGAGAGGGAGAACACCCCCTTTTCACACGCTGAGGACACTGTGCGGAGGCTAACAACTGTGTTCTCTAGGATAAAATAAGAGCCCAGGCTCCGGTGTGCAGAGCCTAAGCATAAATCTGTTGCACCTGGGCTTGTTTGTATTACTCCAGTCTTTTAGCCCATTGGCTAAAGGAGGTGGCTATGTAATATACGGCAAAGATTGTGGGCTTCAGAGTCAAGAAGTCCTGGGTTCAAATCCCGATTGTGCCTTACTGTCTCTGTGACTGTAGTCAAGTTATCAACTTCTCCGTCTCTCAATTTTCCTTTTCCATAAGATAAGAATAAAAATGCCTCTCCTGTGGGGAAGCTGGGATAATATCTGTAAATCATTTTGCCCACTGTAGCAAAAGTCCTCCTTCCTTTGTTCATTTTAACCAGAGAAGACAACAGAGATATATAAATTAATTTGCAATTCAGTCAATTAGATACCTTTGTTTTTGAACTGAGAAAAGGTCTATGTAAGATTCAGAGATATATAAATTAATTTGCAATTAATTGAGAAAGGTCTATGTAAGATTTATTGCATGGCATAATGATGATACTATTTCATTTTCCTAGATTTCATTAAAAAAAATTTTTTAAACAGTTTTTTTTTTTAAGGATAACCCTGCAATAGAACAGGTGAGAAAGCTGAGATCCACAGAAATTGTCACCATTTATCAACATCTCTAATACCAGAGAGAGAATTCCTTCCTCCTGACTCAGTGTTTTCATCATAACACAATGCCTCTCAAAAAGTCAATATAATTTAGCAAAAAGAGTAAATGTCAGATTGTAGCCCTTCTTTTAAGCCCTTTAATCACTTGGCTTTCTGTTTCCCCATAGTAAGTTACTCAAAAAAGTGTATTGTGGAAACACTTGGCTCAACAAAGTTAAACAGGTTTCTTTCCTCCTGGACTTCTCAGAGCCTCTGCTGTGCTAATACATGCAGTGATGCAAAGATACTCCAGATAAGATCTGAGGCAAATCAGGTTATTGTTTTGCAAACCTTTTCACCACCAGGCCTGGTCATGTGGTTCTTAGGGTGGAAGGGGGTGTTGCATTACTGGAAGGATGGTGGCGTCAGGCATCCCCCCCATGGTGTGTCTCCATGGCCACAATTTCAGACCCCTTCACACTCAGCTCTCTCCCCCATCAGGTGTCCTCCTCTGCTTAACAGGGGGACCCTCACATCCCCTATCTGTTTACCAAGCTGTGAGACTCCTGGAATAGCAGGGTTGGGAGCCCGCAGGCCTCCAGCAAGGGCAGATATGCTGAGTGTCTTATACATCTGCACACTGATGGTTGTGGGTGAAGGGAGGGGGGACTCAGCACACCCCCAAAGAGGGTTATGGCAAAAATTTGGCCAGAGACATTCCTTCTCACAGAGATAAATGCCCAGATCCCTTCTATGGGCCTCTTTAGGATTAGAGTCCTGTCTGTAGTGTGAGCCCTACAAAGGCTGCCTTGTGCTTTTATCCAGCACAGAGCTGACTTCGTGTGAAGTTTTCCAGACGGGCCCCTGTTGTTTAGGCAGCCCCCCTCACATACTGTGGGACTCCTGGCACGCTGCAAAGTGGTCACGCTCCTTCCAAGTCACAGTCAAAGACCTTTCTTTCCATGCTCTTGGTTTGACACAAACAAAAAGGATGTACGTCATTGTTTTTTTAATTCAGGAAAATTTCAACCACAATTTTTGTTATCCTTTTTTAATTTTGTTTGAAATATGTCTTTTTGTTTCATTTCTTTTTTAAAGGATTCCTTGTTAGATGTTAACATCATTATTGAGGAAAGCAAAGGAATGGATATGGAAAAGTTGGAAAAGTCACAAAGAGCATTTGAAGGAAAATCCACCTTTCTGTCCAAGACCCCTTACTATGTCCATGTTAAAAAAGAAGGGAATTGACATTTATTAAATGTTAACTATTTAACAGGCACCAAGCTAGGTGTTTTATTTCCAGTTTGTTTGCTGCATTCTCCAGCAATTCTGAGTTATCTCCCATGTTCAGGTGGAGAAACAGAGCCCAGAGAAATTAAGTTTTTCTTAATTTCCCTGGATCCCAGAGCTAGTAAAACTTAGAGCTGGGTTTTGAACCTAGACCTGCTAACTTCAGAGCCTTTCTAGTGCGTGATGATAGTACGTTGGACGGTGAAATGGGTGAGTACACAGATGGCTAAATGGAGGGAATGTTAAAAGAGAGCACTGTCTCACAAATAATTTGAGGATACTTTAAAGCAATGTAGGCATGCCTTGCCGAGACACAGAAAAGGGTAACAAACGCCTCTACAGGAGACATTTTTCATCAGATAACCAACATTTGTTAAGACTGCTGGGTGCATTGCTGTGTGTTATATAAATATTCCAAGCATAAGACAACATTCACAAAAAATGCATTGAGAAAACCACAACAAGCTAATAAGGCCTCTGAGCACTTTCAAGTGCTTGTCAGTTTAAATGTTAATACCTATCCCCCAAAAGACTGGAAGAATGCCACATGTGATATAATTCCCTGAACAGTGGGATTCTCGCTTCCAAGTGTGGAGCCCCCTCTTCTGGAATTTGTCCCCTCTGGACCCACTTGAAGCCTCCTTTTGCTAAAAAGCTGAAGTGTCTTAATCTTACACATATGAAAACATCTGCTAAAATGCCATGACCCTCTGTCGACAGGGAGCTTCCTCTGCAGAAGGGAGATATTGTTTACATTTATAAGCAAATTGATCAGAACTGGTACGAAGGAGAACACCACGGCCGGGTGGGAATCTTCCCACGCACCTACATCGAGGTACTGCAGCCCCTTTTCTTTCTAAGGAAAAGCCCAGTCGTGCCCAAAGCACCATTTACTTACCGCATACTTGTGTTTTGTTTCCTCCTTTTCCTCTTATTCCCCTACTTTCTTCTCTTCCCCCTTTCTCTTTTGCCTCTTCCTTTCTCAGCTTCTTCCTCCTGCTGAGAAGGCTCAGCCCAAAAAGTTGGCACCAGTGCAGGTGTTGGAATATGGAGAAGCTATTGCTAAGTTTAACTTTAATGGTGATACGCAAGTAGAAATGTCCTTCAGAAAGGTAAGCTGCCCTTCCCGCGCCTTCCTTTGGAGCTGTCTTGGATGACACTGCGGGGAATGTGGCATTGCTCTGGTGTTCCAGATAGCAGTGCTATCTGTGTCCTTAGGAGACGAGAATTGCATTAAGGCCAACTGGAGAATTTTCTGAGTTATTGTAGTTTTTAAAATAAACCCTAAGCCAGTGTCAGGGCTTAACTGTATTGTGTTCACTGATTAAACGTACTATTTCTGGAGTCTTAGACATCTTTTATAAACTATATTCAACTAACATTTAGTGAGCACTTAGTGATGTGATAAGCACTGTATAGGTGACTAGCTTTTATAATGTATTGATATGGCCTAGTGGAAAATACAAATTTATTGACACTAAAAGTTTGAAAAGCTTTGAACCCAAAAGTCATAGGTCATCAGCTATGAAGATGGTGTAAGTCAAATACATTTTTGTTTCCTTTTGAGACAGAGTCTGACTTACTCTGCTGCCCTGGGTAGAGTGCTGTGCTATCATCATAGCCCGCAGCAACCTCAAACTCTTAGGCTCAAATGATCCTCTTGCCTCAGCCTCCCAAGTAGCTGGGTCTATGGGTGCCATCCATAATACCCAGCTAATTTTTCTATTTTTAGTAGAGACAAGGTCTCGCTCTTGCTCAGGCTGGTCTTGAACTCTTGAGCTTAAGAGGCCTCCCAGAGTGTTAGGATTACAGGCATGAGCCACTGCACCCAGCCTCAAATACTTTTATTTTTTTTTTAAATATTTTATTTTTCTTTATTTCTGAGACATTCTTACTCTATCACCCTGAGTAGAATGCTGTGATATCATTGTAGCTCACAGTAACCTCAAGCTCTTGGGCTAAAGCAATCTTCCTGCATTAGCCTCTGGAGTAGCTGGGACTACAGGTACTCACCACAACACCCAGCTGATTTTTTTGTTTTTAGTAGAGATGGGATCTTGTTCTTGATCCCACTGGTCTTGAACTCCTAAGCTCAAGCAATCTACCTGCCTCAGCTTCCTAGAGTGCTAGGATTACAGGCATGAGCCATCATGCCTGGCCCGCAAATACTTTTAAATAGCTCTCTCCTAGGGTAGTTCCAAGAGGCTTAGGTGAAACAACGTAATTGAAGTGCCCAGCATGACACACAGCATCTGGTTTGTGCTGAGTAAACAGGAGATGCCAGTAGTAGTAGCATTATTGCCTTTGAGGACTCAACGTGCTTGTGGTTTTTTTTTTTTTGAGACAGAGCCTCAAGCTGTCCTCCTGGGTAGAGTGCTGTAGCATCACAGCTCATAGCAACCTCCAACTCCTGGGCTCAAGCGAGTCTCCTGCCTCAGCCTCCCAAGTAGCTAGGACCACAGACATCTGCCACCACGCCTGGCCATTTTTGGTTGCAGCCATCATTGTTGTTTGGCAGACCCAGGCTGGATTCAAACCTGCCACCTTAGGTGTATGTGGCTGGCGCCTTAGCCACTTGAGCCACAGGCGCTGAGCCTCAATATGCTTATTTTGTTTTTTTTTTTTTTGGACAGAGCCTCAAGCTGTCCCCCTGGGCAGAGTGCCGTGGCATTACAGCTCACAGCAACCTCCAACTCCTGGGCTCAAGCGAGTCTCCTGCCTCTGCCTCCCAAGTAGCTGGGACCACAGGCGTCCGCCACAACGCCCGGCTATTTTTTGGTTGCAGCCGTCATTGTTGTTTGGTGGGTCCAGGCTGGGGATTCGAACCCGCCACCTTAGGTGTACATGGCTGGCGCCCTAGCCCGTTGAGCTATAGGCGCCGAGCCAATATGCTTATTTTGAACACAATTACGCTGTGCACAGAAACTGTTCTTCCAGGAATTCAAACACTCCTTACGTGTCAAAATTCACTGGCTTGCCGAAGTTACTAAGCGAGTATTAATAACTATTATTGAAGATTGAGAGAAGTAAGCACATGCCTTGTAAAAAGATGAGCCACCTAGTATAAAAGAGAAACACTGGAAGCAACCTAATTGCCCAACAGCAAGGGATCAGTAATTAAATCATTACATGTGTGTATAATAGAATATCTTAAGTGGTCCACAAAACTGTGCAAATGTAGGATTATATTTCTTGGTAAGAAGGAGTTTAATTATAGGTTGTTAACTATCTTTAAAAAACAAGTTGGAGGCTGGGCACCGTGGCTCACACCTGTAATCCTAGCACTCTGGGAGGCTGAAGCAGCTGGATCCCTTGAGCTCAAAAGTTCAAGACCAAGACCAGCCTAAGCAAGAGTGAGACCCCATCTCTACTGAAAAAAAAAAAACTAGCCAGATGTTGTGGTGGGCACCTGTAGTCCCAATTACTCAGGAAGTTGAGGCAAGAGGATTACCTGAGCCCAAGAGCCTAAGAGTTTGAGGTTACTATGAGCTATTATAATGCCAAGGCGCACTCCACCCAGGGCAACAGAGTGAGACTCCGTTTCAAAAAAAGGAAGAAAGACAGAAAAAAGCAAATTGAAAAAGAGAAATATAGTATATTTTCAATTTACATAAGAAAAAATATGGCTTGGCGCCTGTGGCTCAAGCGGCTAAGGCGCCAGCCACATACACCTAAGGTGGCAGGTTTGAATCCCGCCCAGACCCACCAAACAACAATAATGGCTGCAACCAAAAAATAGCCGGGCGTTGTGGCGGGCGCTTGGGAGGCTGAGGCAGGAGACTCGCTTGAACCCAAGAGTTGGAGGTTGCTGTGAGCAGTGAAGCCACGGCACTCTACCCAGGGTGACAGCTTGAGGCTCTGTCTCAAAAAAAAAAAGGAAAAATATGTACAAGTCTAATTCACATGCATTGAATTAAATCTGAGAAATACATATGTCAAAATAATAATAGTAATTATCCGCACAACAGTATGATGGCTAACAATTCACTTTATGTTTATTTGTGTTCTAATTTTTTTTATAATAATGCATGAAAAAATAAAGTTATAAAAAGAAAGAAAAAGGATAACCTTCACAACCTTTGCCTTAGAGATAAAGTTTGGATATCTGTCTATTTTACATCGAATGAGTCAGTAACACTAATTGCCTTCCAGCTTAGAGTGTGAAATCTGATTTTCTTCACTGAAATATTTAAACATCACACTTAACTTCCTGGCATCCAGGTAGCTCTGTTGCCATTAGCATCCCCATCCCAGTGATGTTAATTCCATCCAGGTCCAGCAGGGAACCTTCCTTTTTCCTACACAGAGGATGTGATCAATAATGGAGGATATTTAGGCTGCAGGCAGGGGCTTCAGATGTGCTGTGGCATCATGGGACAAGGACTCTTGCCTTTCTGTGTCCTGCAGGGTGAGAGGATCACATTGCTCCGACAGGTGGATGAGAACTGGTATGAAGGGAGGATCCCAGGGACATCTCGACAAGGCATCTTCCCCATCACCTACGTGGACGTGATCAAACGGCCGCTGGTGAAAAACCCCATGGAGTACATCGACCTGCCTTTCTCTTCCTCTCCAAGTCGTAGTGCCACTGCAAGCCCACAGGTATTTAAGTTTTTTTGTCACTGGTTTTCATACCCAGCATAAGAGTTTTCAAATTCAACATTGCTAATGATACACAGCCCTTTGTGGTGGTTTTTGAGCACAGTGGTTAAGAACTGTCTGCAGCCATGCAGACTACACACTGGAGCTTGTTTTCATGTGTACAAATGGCATTTTTCCAGTACTTGGTGGGAGAAATATTATCTCAAGGGAAGAGATTAATGATTGCTCTGGGGATAAGGTGACTAGGGAAAGAGAAACAAGAGAAATAACATCAGTTGATCCATCCTGGCTGAAGCTTGGTATGGGACCACCCCACTACCATAATTCCTGTGGCCCAGTGTTGTTCTCTTAGTCATCTTGATCAAGATTGGCCTGCAAAAGACAACAAAGATAGACTTTCACATTCTCATCCTCAGACATGGAGAGCAGATCTAAAGTATTCTTTGCATTTACTGATACTAGGTGAATGCAAAGGACGTTTTATTCCAAGTGACAAGGACAAGGAACTTATAGCATCCCAGTCTATACTGGGTTAAAAGGAAGTAGGTTTATAGGCATAATAAGATATTGGCTTTCCTGAACATTAATTATGAACAAACTTGATTAAAAATACAAATTATTCTAAACCCATCTCCACTTTCCCAAAGCCAAGAAAAAGTCAGAACCTTAGGTTCTGGGGGACATGGTAGGATGACATCCTGTGAAGGAGAGTAGTCAGCCTTATATTCCTTCTGCCATGTAAGTTGGCCAGGGAGGGGGAACAGGAGCTGGGGACCAGGAGGACCCTGTGATGGTGCCTCTTATGCTTTCCCACCTGCTTGCTGCTGATCCTTGCACAGAGGGTTCTTGGCAGAAGGCATTAAATGGGCTGAACCTGGACTTCCTACCTGGCGAGATCCACTTCCTATTGTCTCATGGGAGAGAGTGAGACTGGAATGGGGCACTACATTTTATAAGAATATGGGGGGCTCAAGTAGATTTTTCACCTGACTGTAGCCAAGAGCAATTATAAAAACAAAATGACTACACTACTCTACTCTGTCTGGAAGATTCTGCTGAGCCTCCTGGAAAGAATAGAAGCCCTAGGAGAGCCAGGGCAGTGGCAGGCCGCCTTTTCCTGTGTGGTTCTGGGTCTGGCCTCAGGTGGCACAGGCTATTGGGTGGGCTGTGGGGGATACTCCCAGTGTGTCCCCCTGAAAACCTGATCCTGCAGAGCGGGCCAGCACCATCCACCACTGTGATGGGGGCATCTGTCCACCCGCTACTGTGTGCCGCTCTCTCTACACCCCCCTTACCTGCACACATCACACCACCCACACTCACATCCACACCCACACCCCAGCTTCTCCCCGAACCTAACCAGACAGTTCCCTCTGTGGACCCCAGCATGCCCTGCTCATCCTCTCCATTTCATCCCTCTTTATATATCCTGGTGATTATTTTCCTCCTTTCTCCTTTATGCTGACACATGTACCTTTGCTTCTTTCTTTTGTTTTCCTCTTTCCTCTTCTTAAGTTCCCCAGTCACAGCAAGCTCCTCATGCCAGCCCCCTCATCTCTGCCCCACTCCCGCCGAGCTCTGTCCCCCGAGATGCACGCTGTCACCTCCGAGTGGATCTCACTGACTGTGGGAGTCCCCAGCAGGCGTTCTCTGGCCCTCACCCCACCCTTGCCTCCTCTGCCAGAGGCTTCTGTCTATAACACTGACCACCTCGCCTTGTCATCAAGGGCCAGCCCCTCCCTGTCTCTCAGCCTCCCGCATTTGAGTTGGTCAGATCGTCCCACCCCACGATCGATGGTTTCCCCACTGCCCCTACCCGCCCCCCACAAACCTTATTCCCCAGCACCCGGCACCCAGGCCTCCCTTCACATCAATGGAGATAGTGGTACCCACATGCCACCTTCAGGTGTCCACCAAAATAGCTTCTCCCAGCCCCTGCTTGGGAGCTCTGATAGTGTCATCTCGGAGCTTAGCGGTGCCTTTAGCAGCCAGAGCAAGAGGCAGCCATGGCGAGAAGAGAACGGACAATATGAAAGGAAAGCAGAGAGGGAGGCAGGTGAGAGATGCCCTGGTGGACCCAAGATCTCTAAGAAGAGCTGCTTGAAGCCTTCAGACGTGGTCAGGTGCCTGAGTACTGAACAGAGACTCTCAGATCTCCACACCCCTGAGGATAGCCGGCCCGGCAAGCCCCTGGGTGGCCCTTTTCCAGGAAGGGAGGCTGAGCAGCCAGAGCGGCAGAGAGGTGGCGAGCAGGCTGAGAGGAGAGCTGCTCAGAGAGGTTGGAGCCAGGTAGGCCTGCCGCATGCCGTGTGTGCCCCTGGCGCCTTACCCCGGCCCGTCTGCCAGGGAGACTGTTTGCTTGCCTTGGGAGCAAACAGCTGGCCTAGGAGGGAATGGAGGGGACATCAGTTAAGGTGTCAGGCCTGGGGACAGCTGGAGAAAAGGACAGACTTTATTTATTCTGGCCTCTTGAGGTGATTCAAACTTATTCCCCACCTTGGGCACTTCCTGGCCTGGTGGCAGGGCCCACAAGAAGGCAGCCCTCTTCACGTCCCATTTGTGCCTTGGACGTTTTCCTCGGTTTGCTCTGACTAACACAGCTGAGAACACCAGGCATTGGTGTGGTGTGGTGTGGTTTTATGTAAGTTGCACTTTGTTTCCATAACCTGTGGTGCTCTGCTAGCGCTCAGTTCTGTCAGGTCTCCGTCCTGTCTTGTGTTCATGTGGGAGCATAAGGCCTTTGTTCTCTGCAAACAAAGGTTTTTGGTTTTGAGAAGGAGCATGTGGCCTCTGGTGCCCTGAGATGCCTGGGGTATCACAGAGTAGGTACACCAGGTTTGGGGGTGATATTGCATCTTTCTGGGTCAGCCACAAAGATTTCAGAGTTTAGACTAAGATTGCCTTAGGGTATTTTGAAGGCTGAATATTTTTGAGGAGAAATGAACTTGGCCACTAGACAAATCATGATTCTGATTTTGGCTATGCTGTTCTCTACCCCAGCAGTTGAAGACTTTGGAAAACTTCTCCAAAGTAGCTACATTTGAATGCCAACTCCACCTTTTACCATCCAGTGACTTGGGAGTTACTTTTTTTCTCTGAGACTCAGTTTCCTTATCTGTAAAGTGCAGATAATACCTACCTCAGAGTAGCTGAGAAGATTCTTTGAAAGAATATGTGTAAAGTGCTAAGCACAGGTCTGGAGATATGATCAGCACTTCATGAAAGGAAACTATAGAGCCACCATCTTGGGTGATCTAGAACTGCTTCTATAACTGAGAATGTTCTAGAACCTCTTTATAACCAGATGGAATTCCTGAAAACGGCTCCAGACCAATTATCAAGTATCTATTATATGTGATACCCACAGGAATCTGTTCTCAATCCTCAGTCTGGCATTTCCAGTTTCCCTTTGAAGCTTCATTTATTTAGTCTGTGAACACTAATTCAAGGCCTGCGGGTCCCAGCCTCTGGACAGTGTGCAGGGTCATCGATTCCTGCTCTGGAGGAGCCTGTGTTCAGTGCGGCTGGCAGACACAACAGTGTCACCAGGGCAGTGATGAGGTGTGCTTCAAGGCCACAGAGTACAGAGGCCTGAGACACACTAGGCCTGACACATGTGGGCCCGTGGGCTAGTGTGTCAGGAGTAGGGGGTCACTGAGGTAAGCTGCTGTGAGGCCGGTGTGGGGCTGTCATCAAGGCCCAGTGGGGTGACAAGTGGCAGCTGTGAGAAAGCAATACCCCACAGGCTCGCCTGGCTCCAGGCAGGTTGAGGACAGATAGTTCGCTGGGAGAGATGGTGAAGTGAAAAGAACTAAGCATCTCTGACACAGGAATAAGTCTGTAAGTGTTCTGAGTCCACCTAAGGTGCCTGGAGACCTCCTGATCATCAGTGGTGAGTCATTACTGTGGCCGGATTCCGGGATCCCGAGTGCAGGAAGCGGACTTCGAGTAAGGCTGGGGTGTACACTTCCTGCTTCCTGATGCAGGATAGGAGTGGGGTAGCTGGCAACACTGGAGATTATGTAGATTGGAAAACTGGACCTGTTGAACATTGGTTTTCCTTTCGTGGTGGGCCTGCAGACTCCATCTGCACCACTTCCTGCCGCTGCCGCCTCCTCCTGCTCTCAGGTACCAGCCCCTTCTCTGTGGTGGGGCCCAGCTGTGGCCCAGGCTCACTACTGACTGAGAGCTGGGTGTTGTGTGAAAAGGGTGGTTGCTCACCCACAGCCTCCGCCCTCACCGTGCCCTCCTGTGGCTGGAGTAGGAGCTAGCAACTTGGGAAAGGGGTCCTTCAGAAAGAGCTTCTGCCTCTGGGGCCCTCTTTGGGTGGCAGACAAGCTAAAGATAGACAGGATTGACTTGACATCATTCTTCAGTGGCCCTGTCAGGATGGTCTAGCTCAGTTGGTGTCACTTATTTGGGTAAATGTATTCCAAACCAGTTTGTATCAAGAAAATTGCCAGGTATTATTATCCTTGCTGAACCAAAGAACTGAACCAAAAACACAGTTTTATTATAAGTTTTGGGGAGCTGGGTGGAGTGTCTGACCAATAAATAGGGGGAATTTTACCTGAGGGCCTTTAATGAAAAGACATTCTGAAAGGCTGTGACCATTTACTCTTTTCAACATCTAAGATGTTCCAGGCAGTAAGTGCTACAAAAAGAGAGAGGGATGAACACCGTCTGGGCTTCTGTTTAGATGTTACTTATTCTAGAGGGCCTTCCTTGACAGCTTCTCCCCAGCCCTTTGAGGCTGGATTAAGTGCTCTTTGGGCTGCCACAGCCCCTGCACCTGGCCCATGAGAGCACGTCTCAGCTTTGTATTTGTCCCATTTCTCTGAGGTCAAGGACTGTGCCTCCTGATATATGGAAGGTGGTCAGTAAATATTTGTTTAATGAAAGAAAAGACCAAAAAATGACTGACCCCAGTCAAAGGAGTTTATGATGTCCATTGAGGGAGTAAGACATGTTCACAGATAATTAGAATGCAAGCAGTTCACTCCAGAAGTTCAAGATGGACAGAAATAATAAGCAACAGGAAAGGGAAGGTGCTTGTCTGGAAGGACTTCATGAGAAAAGTAGTGTTTGGTCTGGTCTTGAAAAATAGAGAGTTTTCCCACAGGTATACAGCAGGAGGGCATCATTCCACGCAGATAGCCCAAGCAAAGACACAGGTAGGAACATGAATGTGTTGTGTGGACAGTGGTATGTCCCTAGTTTGAGGAAGATTTCTGGTATCTGCAGGTAAATATGGGGCCAGTTCTGGAGAAGGGGCTGGAACCAGAGCATAGAGGGCTCTCCTGGGCACCTGTGATGTTCATCGGCACCTCTTAGCAATGTGTGGCGCTTTCTTCCTCATGGTCCTGGTGACCCTTATGAATCAGTTCTCCTTTCTTACTTTCCTTCCCCTTAGGGACCTGTCTACCCCTCAACTCTGCAAATGTGTGAAATGGTTTAACTTTTCACTACTAAACTGGGTTCGAGTTGGGTCAAAGTGTAATGAAATGCAAAGGTCTTTAGGAAAATCAAAATGAGGTGAGAAGAACACTGGATTGAAAGTCAGGGTTCTAGCTGCAGCTCTGACATTCGCCTGCTGCACGTCTTTGAGAGAGTCACCTCTCTTTCCTGGCAGCTTCTCTGTCCATAAACAGGAGATTTGGGAAAGAGAATTGAAGTTCTTTTGAGGTTTTATATCCTATGATAAGGTGAAAAAATCTTATTGGAATTTTTGTTGAAATGAGAAAATAAATGCACAATTTTAAGTAGGGGGGTTATTGTAGACCTGCAGACCTTCATAACTGAAAAATGGAAAGTTTTTCTTTTGTTATTTTTGAGGGACAACTTAACGGACTTGATAAAAATACATACGAAAGCATACAAAACACTCATGGGTTCAGTATTGTCAACTAAGTTCTTGGATTTTGTTGCATGTAAGTTTGGCCAATAAGGTTTAGGAAATCAAGAAATTTGATGGGGAAGATCATCTTGAAATTCTTCACTTTTGGCATTATCAAATATTTACTGTATTTCTTCAAAATACAAGCACCATTTACTGACTGGAATCCAGCCTTGGTTTTTAAGAATTTCTTTAATTTGTGACAGAGTCTCATAGAATTTTCTTTTTTTTTAATTTAAGAGATAGAATCTCACTCTGTCACCCAGGCTAGAGTGCAATGTCATAATTGTAGTTAACTATAACTTGAACCTGGGCTCAAGCAATCCTTCTGCCTCAGCCTCCCAGGTAGCTAGGACTATAGCCACCAACCATCATGCCTGGCTTTTGTTTTTTCTTGAGACAGAGTCTCAAGTTGTCATCCTGGGTAGAGTGCCGTGGCGTCACAGCTCACAGCAACCTCCAACTCTTGGGCTTAAGCAATTCTCTTGCCTCAGCCTCCCAAGTAGCTGGGACTACAGGTGCCCGCCACAATACTCGGCTATTTTTCGGTTGCAGTTGTCATTATTGTTTTAGCTGGCCTAGGCCAGGCTCAACCCCTCCAGCCTTGGTGTATGTGGCCAGTACCCTACCCACTAAGCTACAGGTGCCACCCTGGCTAGTTTTTTGTAGAGGTGAAGTCTCACTTGTATTTCCCAAGCTGATCTCAAACTCCTGGCCTCAAGCAGCCCTCTTGCTCAGCCTCCCAAAGTCCTGGAATAACAAGCTTTAGCTACCTTGCCCAGCCTGATTTTTTTAATTAAAAAGAATCTCTAAAGATTGTTCACTCAAAGTGATTCATCATAGCTTTTTCTGGATCACAAAACATTTGTGTTCTGAGGTCAGCTGAGGACTCTAGGCCTGTAGTTTGGTGAAGAAGGTGGCACACACAGTTTCATACGGTTTCAAGAAGGTCACGCCTGAATGTATCTGAGAGCTCTCAAGGAATCCATGGATCACCAGGTTAGGAGCCCCCAATAGATTAAATTTTTTACAGTGAGTTGAGAAAAATGATAAGACTTATGTGATGTCAGATTGGTTCTTGAGGCGAAGGAAGCTAAACACAGGAGAGCTACTCAGCTGAACACAGACGTGCTCCGGTGACTTCCTCAACTAGGTTAGTTCCCAGAAAGGTCAGAACAAAGGCAGAGACCTGCCTCAAGAATGGAAATCAGAAATAGGGAAAGCATGTGATGAGACTTGTAAGAACAAAAAGGGAACTTAAAATGTTAAGATGCTCAAAGAAAAGTGAGAAACATTTTCCTTTGAGTCACTCAGAAAGGAAATCTCTAAATAAATGCAGGTGTTTAACAGTTGATGGGATGGGGAGACACACTGGCTGCAGTTCTTAGGAAAA